AGATCGAAATTAAAAACGTCGTGGCATTAATCAGGAAACTGTTCTGCATGAATAACAATAATAATTCGAGAGAGAAGAAAAAGAACAGCCACTGTCTGTGTTTTCGATTTTTTTATCCCCTGTGCGTTTCTTTCTTTTACTTTCTTAGTCGTTGAGTAATGAGTAAAGATTATAAATGTGTCATTCTTTTGAAGTTGTCTAGGTGTGGGAATTCTGTTCTATTGTTTTTAGTGCCAGACTTTAATGAGTCGTGTTGATTTTAAAGAGAAGCGCACGTCTGCATCGAAGCTGGATACTTCAAATCTCCTGTCCTTTCAGAAACTCTGTTAACTATTTACCATTTATTTAATAACTTTTTTAGTTATAATTTTTCTCTTTACGTTTTATAAATTTTTAATTATGTAATTTATCTAATCATTAATTATTTAAATAATTAATTATTGTATTGGTCATTTCATTAATTAATTTATTTATTCTTCCTCTTTCCTGACGGTCTTCCATAGGGCCGGTGCTTCTAATTTTAGAAATTATGCCCTAACTTAGGGAGTATAGCTTAAATAAATGAAAATAATCCTCGTTGCAGCCACTGATAAAACTAAATCGTTGCTTTTAAATAACAACAGAACTGAACTTAAAATATATAAATAATGATTTAAAAAAATTTTTTTTGAAGCAGTAATTTTTTTTTTTTTTTTTCCTTCTTACTTAAACGTAAATATCGAAGTATTGAAATTTTTATTGCTTTAATAAATAAAAGTTCCGTTTTAAATTAAATTAAGGGCTAGAAAATTATGTGTATTCAATCTCTTTATTTTATTTTATTTTATTTTTTTTTTTTTTTTTAGCCCAAAGGGCATTAAGTTAGAAGGGCTATTCATTTCGTTTTGGCATTTCGCGTTGAAACTTTAAAAGACTTTTCAAATTGTTGCCACCAAATATTATCCCCCTGTGTTATATTTAAAGAAGTTAAGTAATGAAGAATCTGCATAAATGTATACATGTTTCTCGCATTGTGATAAAACAACGGCACCTAGAGCCATCAAACTTTGAATAACGTAATCCTCAACGGAATATGGGCATTTGGAAGCCCGAATTTGGAATTTGTTTTATTATGATTTTCATATTTTGTAACATTTTAACGAATTTTTCATTAAGAAACTCAACGATTTCAAAGCGAGCAATGACAACAATGTGCGGAAACAAAAAGCATTTCTACCTCCTGCGCGCGAGACTGTTCCGGAAATTCTAAAGATATGCTCATTTAAAAATTATTTTGTGATATTGCTGTTGAATTGAATTTTATGGTTTAAGTGAACATGGTATTTAATAAATAAAGTTAACACCAAACGTTAAAAAAAGGCTCCCTTGGGCGTAATGTAAAATCTGAAAGCTTTCAGATTCGCCCCCCCCCCCAAATAAATTGTGTTGTACAAAAGAATAAGAGCTTGAAAACTGTCGACATGTTTTTGTTAGAAGCGTATTTTATTTGTTTTCCTAATAGTATAAGATAACTATTGTAGCAATATATCATTAAGAAGTTTGTTTAAAATTACTTTTTAAATGATTTACGTTGTCGTGCTTATGTGTAACAAACTTATTATACTGAAAAATCTTATTCTGTAGCAGTTTCCGTTTTTCTTTTGTGTATGTATGTCTGTCGGACAAAAACCGCTAACTGTAACCTGTAATATAGTTATCCAGTTTTACATTTTTTATAAGTTTCATAATTATGATGTGGTTCACTGTGTATAACTAAAGAACCTATTTGCCTGCAGACAAGAGCAAAAATTCATTTTGTTGGAACAGTTGGAATTCTTTAGAAGCCAGTAATTATTTATGTTAATTAACTTTATTCAGATGAAGAAGGTTATTAACAACATCTAGTTAATGCATAATTATTATAATTAGATTCCTTTTGCGTTGCCGATGTTATTAAGTTCATTAACAAGTTTGTTTGGTGCTAGTTAAGTATTTAGTTAAGTTTATCTTTATTCTGTGTTTATGAGATTATTAAATGAAGGCCAGAAAGTCAATAAAAGAATTCGGAAAATTGTTATTTATAAGATATAATTGAAGTGTGGGAATGGTGCAAACGGTAACTGAAGCCTTGAGTAACCATTCTTTATAAATTAACGAAATTCGAGACCTTTCTTCGTGTAATTCGTTTTCAATGTATGCTAATTCGGTTAATTTTTGTTTGTTAGTAAATTTCATTCTCATTATAAGATTGGCGTATCCGGGTGCATTGTAAATATATGTATTAAATTCTTATTTTATAAACTTTTAAATATTCGTATATATGAAGCACAGTTAAGGCAGTTTTTTATGTTTGCCATTTTTTACCACAACGAGGAAAAAACTGTTATTCGAGGTGTTTATTATTGTCAGATTGCGATAAATGACGTTCACGTTATATAGTATTTTGATCTTCTGTGATATTGCTATGTGATTAGAATGTTTTTTCCAGTTTCCAAAACATGTTTTAAAGCCGTTTTCGTGAAGCGGCTTTAAAACAAGGCAAGCACTGAGCCGAATTATTCTTTATTGCAGTAATAAACTTAAAACATTGATTACAACACTGCAGCTTCAACCGTAGAAGTAAGAAAGAAGTCCCGTACTGCTTATCATAATAATAAGGACCGCATTAGTTGAATTATTGACCAACATTTTACAAACAATAAAAATATTTCGAACAGTTATTTTTACTGCCATGATGCAAAATCTGTGCATTATTTCGCCATAGATCAGATCACTTTGTTATAGAAGTTGGTTGAGGGAATTTCTGCAAACACTCAGTGTACATTTTTGACTGTTTGGTCAGTTGATAGATATTCATTATGCATGAATCACAACAGCTGAAGAAAACAAGTCTTAACCTCAATTTTACCGTGTTCTTTTCGATTAGCTTTATATTTCAATTGTCATTCACTTGACTTTTGACTTGTTTCTGTATGAAAAGCCTGGAACTATTTTTCATCCGCATAAAAAAATGCGTTTTAACAACGGCTTGCCTTTTGAAAGTATCTACTGGACCCCATAAAGACGTTATTCATTTTGAAGTCATTTGTTTTCGAAGTCTGGAGCAAAGTATTGCGACTGAAAATTTACATTTCAGACTAATTTGTGATGAGTGTCTTTTTAAGATAATATTGGTTGTCGCTTGTGGTATTTTTGCAGTCACAGAGAGTTAATATTGAAGGATTGCAAGAAGAGGCTTTTTTCAGTTGGTTTCTTAGATTCTGTTACGAGATCGTCCATAATACAACTGAGGAGCAAGTATTCTAAATATCACGATCTTGCTCTTTGGAGCAAAAAATATAGGATCATTTGGTAGATTTGACAGATTCCGTGGAATTCAACTTTATAAGAAAAAAAAGATCTTCAGTCCTCTAACCAGGCAAAAAAGTATTCTACTGGTAGTGTATTCTTGTTCCACCAAAGTTCATGTGGCTTGAGGGATCATAAAGTCGGGGCTAACTTGATTTCTGGACTTCTAATGGGGTCCCCGTCTCGAATTTCTCCACTTTATCCTCCGAAATTTGCTGCCGTCCAGGTCTTTTTTCTTTATATAGATATTTATTGTCTTTACAGGTTGAAACCATGACCGAATATGCGCGAATTCGAGAATGCTTTTTCCGATGTGTTGCCGTTTTAAGTGTCAGCAAACAACTAAACATCGAGTATATGGACCTTGTAAAGAACAATGTCTGTGGTTAAGTAGGGATGACATATTCAAAGCGCCTATAGAGTGACCTCTTGGCAACTGTTCAAAACTTAGAAACTTACTCTTTGCAATGGTTAATTATTCATTCCGTGTAGTTATTTAAGGACTGCGAAATAAGCCTTCAAAACTGATTGTAATCTTGCTTTCCTAATAGCTGTATATTTCAGGGTTTTTTCTGTTTTCTTCCCCTGCCCTTGTTTGAGGTTTGGACTAAGATACAACCGCACTAGATATCGCTATGTTTGTATGATAGATGAACCAGATGCCGTACAGGTTTTCTAAAAGGTAATTTTCCAGAAATTTTCGTTGTAGTAACTGTCTGTTACTTTTAATTCATATGTTTTCAAAGCCAATATATTTTCTCTCTCATTTCTGCATGCTTTCGTGGTGTAACGGCGCGTATTCGAGAGGTCCCGGCAAGGGCATTGCTGATTTTTCATGTCTTCAGCTTCAATAAATCCTAATGTGTCTGCAATGTTAGTAGATAGTAATTCAGTGCTTTCAAAGAGCCTTTAAAAGTGAAATATATGGGATTATTTTTTGAGTGCTAAGTGCAAGAAAATACTAGTATTTCAAAGACCATATGATAAATTTTGAATTACATATATGACTCGCATCTTGCTGATACTAACAGATGTGTTGGAAATGCTCACCACCGCTGTCCAATCGTAGTCGAAACGTGGCGCCGCATGTTTGCAAGTGTGACTTTACGTTTGCAGACACGAAGACATCGGTTATTAGACGTCGTCAGTAATCAGTAGAGTTTTAACATGGAATGCTGTTTTAGATCTTCTGTATAATGCGTAATTTATTAGCATAAGTTTTTTATGCATGTGAATTCTTCAGGAACGTCATTACCTTTCCAGAATTATCAGATTACATCAAAAGAGTTTTATATTTTTTCTGATTGTCCGTGGCCATTGAGAATGTGGGTAATTGTTTCATGGGCATTCAAACGTGGGACCTGGGAAATAGGATGAAGATCCCCACGTTCCTTTGACACAAATTGCCCTATCTCTACGTTTCAGAAATTTCTGTATATTGGCTTTTACTTACGTGTATTGGAAGAATAATCCTTCATGAATCCCTGAGTAAGCGGTTTTGCGATCCTGAAATACATGTGGATATTTTCACAAAAATTAAACCCAAAAGTTATTTTTGGTTTAAAAACGGCTTTTCTGGTTAGTATGCTGTGAAAACAAAAGTTCTTTTAGTACTTTTCTTAGCGTCTTAATACTTTTTTTTTTTTTAGATTACTTCGTTTGCGTGCGCTTTAAATTACCAAAATTCGTCAGTAATAATGGCCTTTGAAATAAATGAAGCGGAAGCCGAAAGTGGAAGCTTTGGACGGGAAGGTATTAAGCTTCTTCGAATTTTTTTTTTTTTTTTTTTTTTTTTCCATCATCCCTGATGAAACTATTAACTTTTCAGTCACGATATTATTTAAGAGTTTAGAAAAGAATAGTTTGAGTATTAAGACCAAAACAAATGAGAGGCTTAAATTAGTAGGATGATAGCCTTCTAAAAAATAAATGCTGATGGCCTATAAGCCATTAAGGATTAAGTGCCTGTTTTATGCGTAATTCTATTTAAAAAATTGCATTGGGAGATATTAAAAAAGTCAAGTATATAACGCTTCTTGTGAATTTTTTACGATGGTGTGAAAACATTGGCTTTCAATTAGAAGTTGTACGTCAAATTTTGAATACTTATCTTTTCATCCGTTAGCAATATGCGTGACATAGCAATGCATCGGAAAATGTACAAAAGTATGTTTCTTAAGATTTTTAAAAATAAGATGACATTTTTTAATCCGAAATGAAGTGATCGTAAATTAGTAATGAAAACCGTAAACAGTTTTAGAGATGCAAAAAGTGCATTAGTTTTATTTATATGAATATTGTTATTCTTAATGTTTAGAGTTATCTGGCCTCTTTCTTTATTTTACGTGACGGAAAATCTAACGAATCCTAAAGAGTTAAAATGATATTAGTGGTTGTTGGCAACAACGATTGATAACAGTGTTGTTGATTGCTGTGCAGAAAGTCATAACTAAAAGAAATTCTACAACCAATATTAAGATATTTTTCGGCTGAGTCTAATATCTTTTAAATCATCAACTGGCGTCTGTTCATTGATTCGCATCAACAGGCGTCTCTTACTACGTTATTCTTAAGCATGACGTAAAGAAAGATAATTATTAATAGCTTAATATTACTGTATTTCAATAATCTACAATTTTTGTGTAAATTTATTTTTAACTTCATTATATTTATATCTTTTTTTTTTTTTTTCCAGGTAAGAATCTTTGCTTGTCTGTTTTTATGCTGTTGACTCATTTTAATACTGGAAGAATTTTAGGTAAATTTTTATGTTATGCTGTTTGTGTGTTTTATATTGAAGTTTCCTTCAAAAGAAACATATTATACAGGATGGTTAAAAAAGAATCAATATGTATTTTATTAAGGAAATGGGCTTCAAACTTGTAACTCGCAAAAATTGTTTCCGGGTAATGAAGTGTTAATTCTTGCCCTGCGAATGTTCAGGTGAGTCGAGGGATCATAAGCTGTTGGCTAACTTGAGTTGTGAATAATCGTAGGTATCTGTGAAACGCTTCCGAAATTATTTCCATTTTCCCCTTCGAAAGACTGTCTGTTTGCGACTTGATCCTTTATGCAGACATCTACTGTCTTAAACCCGCTGAATGGCCTCGCTAAGTATATTTCTACAGAGCGGCTTGGTTACAGCTATTCAAAACTTACAAACCTCTTTCAAATGGCCATTTAACTCGTTCCTTTATGATATTTGAGAAATGGGATAACACTTCGATTTTATTTTATTTTATTTATTTTTATTTATTTTTTTCCCCCCGTGGGGAGGGATGCGGTTTGAATAAGCGTGTACTTTCATACCGTATTTACAAGAAAACTGTGATAATTAAGTTACATTACATTTTTTTACAAATATGGTATTTGTGAAAAATTGTTTTGCGAATTTGTTTTTCTTGCAGAAGACTTCGGGTCAGATAAAATTTTATCCATCCATAGGCTCTCATCTACTCCTGTTAGCAGCTCACTTTCCTCTTTAGAAATGTAACTGTTTTATTATCCTTCTATTCAGAAATGCAAATGCCCTTTTATGGTTGATATTGTATGGTAGGAATTCAGCTAAAGTGTTTCTTTTCCACATTAGATGGTGCTAAGGTCTCCAAAACAAAGAGCGCCCCCCCCGTTTTTGTTGTTGTTGCCATACTTGCCTAGATTTGTCTTTCTCTCTGATACTCTGATATATATTATAACTCAATATTTTTAAGTGATGCACACGTCGTGTTGTGAAAATTCCGGAAATAAAAGTTTGTGTCATCTATCACATGAAGATCTTTTATACACCTCAGGCACTAGTATGAGGTATTTATAATTCTCTGTCAACAACAAAAAGATTTCTCATAAAGTTAAAGCAGCAACCTTGTATTTGGCGTAGATTTTAATGACGACTCTCTCGATTTCCAAGGCAAACAGATGCCGGTCCCTCTTCATCAGGAGCAAAGAAATCTGCAACGGAGGGAAAGCTACGGCTATAAATAAGTATACCAGGAAAAATAATGCGAACGTAGCGCCATTTGTCGACAGAAATAGCAATGAAGATTGAAAAATTAAGTAAGTCCATTGTGTACATACAAAACGTTAGGAAGGACTGGATTAGACTTAAAGACATTAACTAAACAATATAAATCATTGTGAATGGAAAGAACTTCAAGAAAATAAAATTAAAGGAAAAAAAAAAAAAAAAAAAAAAAAAAAAAACCTAAGATTTTTGCATAATTTTTGCTGGCGCAAAGTCAAAATTCTGGTTAAATTTCCGACTAAGATTAGATATCGAAGGGAGATGCACAATTACATGTTATAAAAGTCCAGTTATAGCAGTATATAAAATGTTTCAGCGTTCTACAGGTACTTGTTTTTGAGATATGCGAGATACATATCTCCGTACGTCCGTGCAGACCTCTAAAAAAAAATATGTTCTAAATCCGTTTCAAATCCATGTTGCAGTCTGTTTTTTTTGGGGGGGGGAAAGAGACCTTTATTTTGCCCGTACATGCAGATGTCACTCAAAAACATTATTCAAATGGATTCGAGAGCATTAAAAATGGATATTTTGGTTGAAATATGATACCCGAAATTTTTCGCGATTGCAATATTTCCTTTGCTTCGTAGAAGGTAGTAAAAACAAATTACATCTGAATATTTTCTCACGAAAAATACAAGATCTTTGGCAAAGTAGATGGACAGAGGCAGAGGTAGGACGAAGGACATTTCGCTTACTGCCAAAAGTTAACATGGAAATAAAGACCCACTGTGCTAGCCTAACACAGTTCTTGACAGGTCATGGACCATTCCCAGTATACCTGAACAAATTCAGACTTAGGGATACTCCTTTCTGCGAATGCGGAGAGGAAGGCGACACGGACCATTATTACTTCCATTGTGTACATACAAGAACCTGGCACTTGAAGAAACCAGCGGACTGTGCCTGGGCAATGTGGACGACTAACACACTCAAACAGAATAGCCCTTGATAAAATAGAGAAAATCTCAGAACACTGCCTAAGCAGAAACAACCGTGGATAATATTATAATGTTTCAAAAGTTCAGAACTTAAAGCAGATAACCAGAATAACGCTTAGTGCCTTGCAGTTAACAATATGTAAAAACTATTATTAGTTTATAATATTCAACCTTGTTACTCTGGAGTCTTTCCCGCCGTGATGGTATATAATTCCGTTTGGTTCATGTCCGTGGTCGGAAGCCATCATAGCGGTGCACTCACTCACTCACTCTTGGTGATGCCGTTTAGTGCAATAACATTTGCATTTAATGCTGATGTGCACATGTGTCATATATCTAATTCAGGAATATAGCCTTGCATAGTGTCTATTTTATTCATCTCTAAAGAAGACGCCTGTTTTTTGCTATTTATTTATTCTAGAATTTTCATAAAGGAAATTGCGGAAGATCATACTATAAAGAATAATTACACTGTTTAAAATGCTAGTCAAAACATTCTTGTAATTATTATATATATAAGTTTCATGAGTTAAAGCTAAATATAATAATAGTCAAGTTAAAGCTAAATATAATAACTGCGTTTGTAGTACTGTTAAGGCCCGTCCCCCGTCCCCACTGGGATTTATCTGAGCTAACGGCGACAACTAACGTAGCCGACCCATCTCCTAAACAAGTTTTTTCCCATAGGGCAGCAAGTTGAAAAATCTGAACTGCAGGCATAGTCGACACAGGGAACTGACTCCGTTAGCTCAGATAAGCCCCAGTGGGAACAGCCCTTGAGGTATCTCTCAGAGCAAGGAACAAGACAAATTACCATTGCCTCTCCATGTATCGAAATACAGACCTAGTCTGGCGAACTTCGAATTACACCATAAAGGCACGCAATAAGAAAATTCTTTACATTTTCCCACACTTTAGAAGGCGAATGGAAACCAATCGCCAAATCCTGGGGGTGACGAATTATCTTTCACCCTGTTCCAGATATGTTTTATATTTACATTCTGAAGACACGCGATAAGGAAGGAGAAAATTCGGTGCCCTTCTCCTCCACGCTTAAACGATGACTGAGGAGAAAGGTGCCTAGTCACCAAATTCACGTGGATAGTCTAGTTGAATAATTTCGATGCATGTCTGTATTCATTATATTGGATACTGGATATGCCTTAAAGCAAACAAGTTCCAATGTTGCATTAGTTTTTCCTAATTTGTGCAACATAGTAAAATATTGTATTTAATTATGCAGGTTGTCATTCAGTCTAATTAGAGCCATGCTTGCGTCAAATATGCAGCTATGTGTTTATTTTTAAAATGCGAGGAGGATCTCTTTTTCGAGGCAATGCGATATGTATACATTTTATTTTCATGTGTTTAAAGGAACTTTGATAAATAAAGCTTTCCTTCCGTACTCGGAATTTCGTCAGCACAGTTCTTAAGAAAACTGAGGATTTTAAAGAAGTTGATCAAAAAAACTTAAAGTTTAGAATAATGATTTAAACATTCAAAAAAAAGTGTATTACCTTTGTTTATTAAATATCATGTTATTCGCACTTAAAACCATAAAATTCAGTTCAACAGCAATATCGCAAAATAATTTTAAACTGAGCATATCTTTAGAATTTCCGATACGCAGTCTCACGCGCTGGAGATAAAAATGTTTTTTCTGTACAACCTTGCCATTGCTCGCTTTTAAATCGTTGAGTTTGTTAATCAAAAATTCGTTAGAGTTTTACAAAATATGAAATAGATAATAAAACAAATTCCAAATTTGGGCTTCCAGATGCCCGTATTAG